CGCCCTACTTTTGCGTTCATATCCCCTGCAAGTACTATAATATCTAAACTAGTAGCACTGAGTAGTAGCGCGCGCAGTTCGTGATAGAATGTGTAATTGACAGTATTAGAACTGCAGTCGGTGGGAACATAAGCAGAAATCAAAAACAAACAGCGTTTTGCACTACTTCGTGAATCAACCTTAGCTGATGTCGTCAAACGGACTGCACATAAACGGCTGTTCACCGGAATCCAATCAACCAACAATGGCTCAGCCTTGGAGCGTAGAATGATATCTACACCAGCTTGACCTATGAGTGCTGCATCGGCGTCTCCGGATGCGTGCAACTAATAACGAGAGGATAAGCCGGGTGCAGTTAATTCGATAACCCCGTTAGGGTCATTGATCCTAGTTTCGGACACACAACACACATCAATATCCAGTGTGTCCAAGGTGCGTGCGAGTGCAGTCAGTTGATCTGTTTGTCTTAGAGTGCGAACGACGAATATCGTCATGGAAACGGGATAGCGTGATCTGATAAGGGACTTTTGCCGATAGGCGTCCGATAGGTGCGGTGGGATGGTGGCTGCGGATGGTTCTACTCCAGTGGCACTTCGGTTAATGTCAATTAAGCTGGGAATTATAGAAAAAAGGTTAGCAATGGGGGTCGGGATGGGAGTAAGAGAAACAAGTGGAAAAGAAAGAAGGGGGTGCCAGCAGTAGCATGTTTTCGCTTATCCGCCCTGCTGTATGCAGCAGATAAGCCAACCCTTGATAATCTGCGCGACGGGTGATGCAGGATGAAGTTTATGATTGAAGAAAATGTCATGGTTGTATGTGGGCTGAGATACTGCCAGGGCGCTCAGCCCTAGACAGGAGCACGATTAGGGTCCTAGTTCAAAGCCTTTGGCTCAAAAGACTGCCCGCAAGGCAGCAGGGATGTGGCAATGAGTTAGTTTTACAGAAATGGACGCCATCGCATTTCAAACCCCCAAGCTGGAGAACCAGGATACTGAGTTTGTCTGACCTCTCACCATTGACCAACCTGGTAGGAGTAGCTCTCAAGGTGCCCGGAGGCATCACCCAGTATAGCTCAATGGGTCAAGGAAGTACGCAAACCGTCGCACCACGTTAAGGTGCAGTCTTGTTGCGACGACCCACCAACGTTCCCGGTTGATTCCAAGACTCCGTCTGACGGGGTTGCAGGGAGTAACGGACATGCTGAAACCCAGTGTCCAACGGAAGCTATTTCCGTGCTTCGATCAAAGTGATCGATGAATCGGAGATTCATTCCAGTTACGATATCTCAAGCTTGGTGCACAGCATGCATCAAAGGCATTCCTCATGGCACATTTGAGACGATTCCAGTCAGCGTTCGGCTCACCAAACTGATTAATCAGTGATAATTGGTGGGCCAGTTCGGCATCATATTGCTGAACAGCAGATAGCGAGTTTATGTTGTAAATAAGAAGAAGGATAGACGCTTCTTTGAAGCGGGAAAAGTAAGCGCCAAGCGTGCGCGCACCAGAACATGGTCAGAATCCAGGCACGTGCTCCAAAGTGACTGGGTTTTGGATTGATGGGCGCCATCTGTGGCTGATGGCAATAGTATCAATTTGGGTCCAGGTTAATGAGGAACCCGGTGGCTGCTAACTGATACGGTGTGAACGTTTGTTCTGGAAAGTAGTGCTGCTAAAATTAAGATCGTGGTCGGTGCACAGTTGCAGGAATCTATCATCATTGTCTGTTCGGCGCGTATCGACTCCGAAACGGAGTCCCAGGGGCTGCTCTGAGTCTGAAAGATGACTCACTTGAGCATTCGTGTCAACAGCAACAAAAACGACATAAGTATTTTGCCATGCGAAGAAGAGATGAGACACGTTAAGGGAAATCGTTTTTGATACCCACTGAACTGCATGCAGTAGGGGCATAAACTGAGGCGATGAAAAGGCACCATGTCTTCCGATGCTGCCAATCAACTCCAATAAAGGCTCGCAGCCGAAACGTACGCATACGGTCGTTCACCGATATCCAATCGAACAGATTACCTTTGGTATGTTTGCTGAGCGCAACGCCAACACCGTAAATACCTTGAGCCCTTGAATCTATATCGTCAAAGATGCGAAGAGTGAAACCATGGTCGTCAGAATCAGAACCCGGGAGCTGAAGATTCGTTACGACGCCATTTCGGAGACAGCACACATGAATATCAAAAGAGTGAAGAGTGAGAGTCAGTGCTGCCTATTGGCCGAGCTAACCTAGAGTGCGGACGTTAAAAGAACCAGTGATGTGAAACTCTAGGCTTGATGGTAACGCTACATGTGTCGACGGCAGTAGCTGCGAGGTCAGCGGCAATCTCTTGCTCAGTAGACGAAGAAGAAGACAGGGGAGAGGAGAGAGAGGAGGGAGTATTGTCGACGTGGGCGAGAGGGCAGCTGATATTCTCTGGCTGCCCATTCTGAGACGGGAGTTTTGTTTGAGGTGCCCTGCATCTACCCACAAGGCAGTGGGGTTTAAGGAGCGTAGTTTGAGGGACTCCACCAGGAACCTTTGGCTCAACAGCCTGACCCACAAAGAAGTGGAGAGAAAGTCCAGCTCGGGAGTGTGATTGCAGAGACCCATTGGGACATGTTCGATGCCTGTCACATACAGCCTTTGAAGATTTAGGACAGTGAATACACGCTTTACGACCGTAGTATGTTCCGCATCTGCGATCACGGTCAGCCGCAGGTGCGAGTTGGCGAGTTTGAACTAATTTGACCAGGGGCTGCCTGGTCTCAGGCGAGCGGTAGCAAACCAATGAGGACCGGAAGGTGTTCGCCTACCAGCAAAAACAGTGCGTGGGCGCATTCATGTCCCCTGAAAAACTGGTAACACACAAGTGGTAACATTGAAAAATAGTGTGGTTAGTTCGTAGTGGAAGGTGTCCTTGGCAGCATCAGAACTGAAGTCGGCGGGGCCGACGCGGCAACCGCAAACAAACAACATCTAGCGTTACTACGTGAACAAACCTTGCCTGATGTCCTCAAACAAAATTCGTTGACACCAGCTGCAACAGCACTGTAGTGATGTCACCAGTAGTTCTTTTGCTGCACCATCCACTGGACGCCAACAACAAAGCTCCTTATAACGCCACGCCGCACCATTTCCTTGGCGTACTTCAGCATTCGCACTTTAAGGCAAACAGGTTATAAGGCTGCAACTGCAAGCACGCTGAGCACACTAGGTATTGGTGTGTGTGTGTGTGTGTGTTGTGTGACCGAAAATAGCAGCAGACGCTCGCATGGCTGTTGAACTAAGTACGCTGTTGGTTACTCGTATCCGGAGACGCGATAATCATCGGTCAAGCTGGGGTGGGCATCGTCCACAGCTCCGAAGCTGAATTATCGTTCATTAGTTGGATTCCTGTGAGCGGCCGTTTGTGTACAGCCTGTCTGACGACATTAAGTTGGTCTGAGAAGTAATACAAGATCCTTTTATTTGTGGTAGCCACTTAAAAGCCCAACGACTACAGTTTTGATGCTGCCAAATACACATTCTACTACGTACTGGACACGCTAGTTAGCGGTGTCGCAAGTTCAGGCATTGTAGTTGTCACAAATGATATCCAATATACAAGTACGGTCGGCTGGCCTCTTTATAAGCTCAACTAGGTGGAAAGCATGGACGTAACTCTGAATCGGACGGGCAATGACTAGTGTCCGTTGCAAATGTACGCGTTGCTGACAACAAATGGTATTCAGCTAGGTTGTCCGATTTCTGAATTTTGGTTCAATTTCGCTACGGACAAAATCATGCAGTGTTCCCTTGTGAAATCTCACGATGCAAGAGTTGAGGTGCTACCCGCTGGAAAACTAGTTGATCTTGATTTTACGGACAGTCTCGTCTTGCTGTTCAACGAGGTTTCGGTGTCGAGTCAACCCCGAATAACTCCCCTCCTATTATGGTGTTATCATTTGATTTGCGCTTCAGACCTTCAATGATTAAAGTATTGCTGCAGCAACACCATCATTATCAACAACAGCAGCCCATCAGCCATTTGAACTGATGCTTCGCTGCCATACAACTATGAGGACCTATGAAATAAAGAATAAGAAGAGGGAGGGAAGAGGGACTTACCTGAAAACCTTAATGCCCTGAGCAAACATTCAAGGTCAAGGCGCTTACACCTTGTGTAGACAACATACCGTCACAAACAGCTGGCTATCGTGCAAAGATCAGGCGGCATCGGCGAGACAGCTTCCTTGCGGCTTTCACTGCCTCGCGTTATAATCAGCCAATACTCCGCAAACAACTCAGCACCAAACACACTTTAAACAAGCAATCCGATTAGCAGGCGGCAGCAGACTGGTGTCGGTTGCGATCCATGTCCTGTAAAGTCTCGAGTCAAGCACAAGGCGAGTCACGTGGACTCCAGCCCGGAAGGCGAGACGGACTCACGGCACCAAGTTTGGTCCTCAGTAACTTCATTTCCCGCTACCAAGTCAACTTCTGTCCACCTCGAGGCTTGCGCCACCATACATCTGGCAGACTAGACAAGTCACTCCTGGGTAAGTGGTGACGAGGCATACGTAGTACGTGCCTGAGTCAACGCAGTAACACCACTAGCTATTTGACGCTCATCTGATCTTGTCAACTGAACAACAGTGGTGTGCGCGTAACCACCGAAGTTATTCCAAAAGCTAGCACCATCATCTTGAATCTGCGACATCTGTGGTGTCAAAAGCCGGATTCCGTTTGTCCGAAAATGCTGAGGTTGGTGGGCGCCATAAACAGATGCCAATCGTAGAAAGAAAGGTAGTCTTTATGCCAAAAGACATATGTGGTTTAGTTGTGAAACTTTTGTTCGAGATAAGTGGGGTACATTCAGCGGTGTAAGCCAGTGTAAGGAAAATAAGGTTTTATAACCTTGAGAAATCAGCGGTGTAAAAGATTCGAGAAAGCTATAAAATCGATATTCAACGGAACTGACGAATCATGTAAAGTGGTGGATTCGAAATAGCCAAACCAAGTAAACTCACATAGCCCGGTCACGACCATGGCACCAAGTTCACCGTAGGCATCGTTGCGCTTGCAGGTCCAAATGCGGCCACCGACGCGATCCTGAAAAAATGATGTTTCCATTAGAATTCAGTAAAAATGACCGAACCGAACATCCAGAATAATAATGCACGGGTAACTGGTCTAAATGCAAATTCGTCAGTAATATGCAGTGTAGCGGATCAGTGAGGAGATGGGGGCGCAATCGAACTTTCTTAAATATAAGTGAATCACGGTGAATCCTGGTATTGTGCCCAAATACCTAGTATTATAGTCGTCTAAGCCCCCTTATGTTCAAAGAAAATATGAAAAACAAAGATGTATCGAAAGATAGAAGGAAAATCCAACGGTAACGTTGGATTTACTAAGAAAAAGCTTCGTATCTACTAAGAGAAGCTTTAACATTGCTTAGTCAATACGAAAAATTGCCTTCGTTTACCTTCGTAAGTGCGGTCCGTCTGTCATCTGATTGGTTGCGTACGCCGTACGCAATCAGCTGATCATGATGAACTGTAGCGCTCATTGGTGAATATAGACCTACGTAAGCCTCGTGTCAGTCAGCGGCAAACACGAAGCTTTTACGAAGCTAAATCTCAGTTTACCTTCGTAAAATCTTCCCTTACCTTCGTAATCGGTCCGGACATATTTAACTAAGAAAAAAACTTCGTTTACCTTCGTTATTGCTAGCGGGAGTGAAAACCAAAGGACTCCGGTAAAAAGCAAGCGAGTTGATTGTGGATGCATGAGATTGTGGAAGTAAGGTGTCAGCAGTACGCCGGCATGTCGAGCCAGGGCGTTGCTGCCACGCGAGAACAATCTTTCGACTGCACGCTAGGGATATTACGCGATTACCGGCCCCCATGCAGATCCGAACAGCTAACTTGTGGAATGCAATGCGAACGCTTTATACCAATCGGCCGATGGTTGAAGCAGTTTAACACGTGCTATGAGCAACTTGTACTAGCGTGAATTTACGGTGCAGAGTGTCATGAGGTAACCCACAAGAAAGGTCATGATACAGGAAACCCAATATAAAATGGTAAAATATAGGGGGTTATAAATGATTGGGTGAATGGGCGGGGTGGTCGACTATAGTGAGCAACATCATCATCATTATACACGTTAGCCACAGGTGGAAAACACCTCAGCTATTGTGCCGCAATACAAAGGACAAGAAGAAAAAACAGCGGCACTCCAGCTGAGTCCCCAGTAACGGATGGACATCGTTCCAGAGAGCTAACAGCCGACTATCCTGCCGCAAAAAGTTACCTTATGCCTAACGAATGCGATTGTGATTGGAGGGGGAGGCTAAGCAGGAGGGGGGTGGACAAAGGAACTCACAACACAAACGCCATTGGGGCTGGCTTCTAGCTATATCAGCAAATGTGTCAAACCAAACGCGTTCATCGTCCTTAGGACCCCAGCCAGGCAGTCGGGATACACCAACCGACGCCCAGTTCGAAGTGAGGGTTTTCATCTCTCTCGACCAAGTCATCACTTGGCCTCCCCTCCTCCTCTTCTAACTGCACCCACAACGCACAAACAATGCACGTCGCGGAAGTCGGTGTGCTGGCATGCGCAACACGTGGCCCAGCCATCGGAGCCTGGTGCGTGATATAATGGTGCTGAGCGGTTCACTCGATCTTCCTGCACCAAATACGCGACGCCGAACACGCTCGTTCCGCACGCGGGGCTTTCACCAGACATGAGCTAAGCTGTGGAGGCAGCGAGGATCGAATATAACCAGCCTCTTTATGTCTGTCGACCTGATGGGTCAAGTTTCACAACAATATAGCAGAGTTGAACGGACAGCTACGTTATAAACTCTGCCCGTCAGGGCGAGAGTAATGTCGCGTCGGCGTCCCAGGTGGCGGAAATTGGTAGAAGCACCTCGAGCTTTTGTTATACGGTTCGTCACCTCATTTTCGATCCCACAGGTGCTAATATAGCTGCCCAGGTACTCGAAAAACTTCTAGAAAATCACCACAAAGCGTTAGCGCAGGGGTGGGTCCCTGCCAATCTTGGAGAAGGACTATGCATTTCGATGGAGCAAAGCATAGCCCAAAACGATTGACCGCCAGTGCTAATCGGTCCAGTGCTGCTTGGCATGTTTGGGATCTGTCACAGATTAGGGCAATATCGTCCGCATACTCCAAGTCAAAAAGTCGCTCACCGGGAAATGGCTCCACACCTTCAAGGTCATGTTCAGCGGATGCTGTTTCTATAACTTCATCAATAGCGAAGTTAAATAGGAAAGGTGACAGCGGGAAATTTTGTCACACACCGCTGGTGATACTGAAGAGTGCCGACAGTCTGCCATAAACCCTCACTCTGCCAGATCTATGATGTTTACGTATCAATCAGGCACACCATTCCTCAGCAGACAGCCCCAAAGGGCACATCGGTCGACTGAGTCGAAAGCAGCTTTTATGTCAAGAAACACGACAACGATGGGCCGCTAATAAAGACGGCGGTGCTCCAAAAATTGACGTAAGGTGAAGATGTGGTCGATGCAGCCCCGACCTCGACGAAACCCGGCTTGCTCTTCACGAATCTGGCTTTCACGAGTGCCAGTCAGTCTGTGGACAGAGGCAAGAAATTTAGAGGCAATTGAAATCAGACTGATCCCTCTATGATTGCCGCACTCCGAACGTGAGCCTCCCTTGAAAATTGGGACAATGACGGATCGGCTCCAGTCTGTCAGGACAGTATCCTGCTCCCAAAGTTTCACTAGAAACGCGTGTGAATAACCTATTAGAGCAGGTCACCCGAATGTGAAGAGGGTTGGGGAATATCTATCTGCCCCTGCGGCATTAAGCAATTTCAACACCCTGATCTCATGTTCGACTTCTGCGCGTGAGGGTGGATCTAAGACGGTCCAGGAGAGAAGGACACTCAATAACCGAAAAAGAAACCGATAACTCAGGCTGGTTAGTTTACATGCAGTGTTCGACCCAAGGCTCTAAGCGTTTTGACACCGTTGTCGCGTATTGTCTCGCTAACACCAGGTCTCCTGCTGCCTGATTCCCGTATCAGACGGAATAACGTACGATGATTACCAATAGTAGTGGCTGTTTCTATCTCCAAGGCAAGATGATACCACCAGGTTTCGCGGTCTTTCTTCAGGCTAGCATGTAGTTTTTCCCTGAGATTTTTGCGAGCCTCATTGCATGCGGTTCCATCCGGAATACGTCGGCAAGCATCCATAAGCTCCAGAGACTGTGTAGAGACCCAATGTCCAAGTTCGTAGTTTGATTTACCACATGAAGACATGCCTGCTGATAGTAACGAGTGACGAATTTGAGACCAGTGATCTTCGACGGTGTTCAGTGGGCGCTTACTCAGACTAGATGTCAGCGCACTTTGATGCGCATTCAGAACACCTAGCTTCGCCAGCTGGCTGATGTCAATCCGTTCACATCGACATTGCGGACGTCCACCGAGACGCACCCGGAGGTCGGCGCAGACAAGTGCGTGATCAGAGTCTACGGTCGTGCTCCAAATCGAGCGACAGTTTTGGACACAGCCTCTCCAGCGGTAAATGATCGCGATATGATTGATTTGCGTCCATGGCTGGTGCGAAGCTGGTGAGCACCAAGTCACGCTTATTCGGGTGCTATGTCAAAAGTTTGTTTTTGCGAGAAAGAGACGAGCAAGTTCACACAGATGTAGCAACCGCTCACCGTTATCATTACGGGAGCCTACACCATGTTGGCCGCCCAAATGAAGCTCATCATATGACCAGTGCTGTTATAGCCAAAAGGCGGCAAGTGTTAAGTAGCATCAACAGCAGTACATCAACCACTGAACTCATGCTCAGCTGACACGCAAACACAATGACTAACGAAATGAAAAATAATGGGAGGGATAGAAGCGGTAACTAACGTAAAACCCAGACGCTCGAAAGAAATCTTCAGGAAAAGGATGTACACATCTTTGGAACAATATACGGTCACAAAACGATGCCAACCGTGCGAAGGTAAGGCGGTATCATGGAGACAGTTTCCTTGCGGCTTTCAGTGCTCCGCGCCATAATCAGCCATCACATCGCTGATAACTAAACACCAAACACACTTTACACAGGCAGTTCGACTAGGAGACGGTAGCTGACGCGCCAATGTCGTCAAATGCGAGCCATGTCCCATAAAGTCTAGAGCCAAACACCAGGCGGGTCATGTGGACTCCAGTCCGGAAGGTGAAACGGAACAACATCATTCAGTTCGGTCACCAGCCAACTTCGTTTCCAGTTGGCAAATTAACCTTTGCTCGCCTCGATGCTTTCACCCCTATACATCTGGTAAACAAGCCAAGACCGGACATAAGTAGTACCTGTACAAGCTAATGCAACGTATTGTGTGTTATCCGTTGTCCTAAGGAACTAGCTAGATTATCACTACCTAGCAGTCGCCTACGCACATCATCGTTCTGTAGAAGCGGTCGCCAACTGAAATCAGCAACGCACCGCAGACAGTGATGATTACAAACTTGAAAGAACCATAGATCGCCAGCACTAGGACGACCACCACTGTGGCCTTGTAAACAGTCTTCCGGACAGACAGAAAGCCGCTTCTGAGACCACAGAAATTTCGCAATACGTGAACTAACTTCAGTGGTTATGCGCACATCACTGATGATTTAGTTGCCAAGGTAGATGAGTTGATAAGTGAACTCGAGTTCCCCTTTCTCAAGGGTCAGGGGAGCGTCAAATAGCCGGTGGTGCTGCAGCAACACTTTGATCATTAAAGGTGCGAACCGTATATCAAGTGATAACTCCATGCTAGGAGGTTATTCAGGGTTGGTTAGACACTTCAACATCGCTAACTAGCAAGACGATATTGTTCGTATAATCAAGATCAACTAGTTTTCCAGCAGGGAGCACCTCAACGTTTGCATCGTGAGATTCCACAAGGGAACACTTCACGATGGAGTTCATAACGAAATTGAACCAAAATGGGGAAATCGGGCAATCCTGACGGAAGTCACTTGTTTTCGGAATGGCATCTGATAAGTCACCGCAAACTCTGACGCAGCCTATCGCGTTAAAACTAATAGATACTATCTTATTTGCGAAAGTGGCCATCGTAAGACAGAAGAACGAGTAGCTTTGGTTGTCATGAATTTGTGAAGCCTTGACGGAACACAGCTCAGTAGACTTGTCGACCAGGTGGTAGGAGATGAATTCACATACTTCACGGTATAACAGCTTGAAGCCCAGTTTAGCAGGTAGTGTAGGGAACAAGTGACATTGGAGTAAGGCAGTTGGAAGGTGAAGTGCGTAATGAGAATCATTAAGATATGACAATGACAGCGGTATAATTAGCCTCGCGGCCAGTAGGGGGAACAGAAATGACGAAACCTAGAACGAACAGATAAAAACCGGTGATGTTCTGAACAAAGAAGTATCTGAGAGCGGTGTAGGTAGCACGACAAAGACAAAGACCCTAGGAAAGCCATCGTTAACAGCAATACATTAGCCATTTGGACTGATATTTCTCTCCTGAAAAACTATGGTGACCTAGAGAACGAAGAATAATAAGAGATAATGGGGACCTAGCGAAAAACCTTAATGCCCTAACCAAAAATTTAGGGACAACGCGCCTACACCTGGTCAAGAACATACCGTCACAAACAACTGACTATCCTGAAAGCAAAACCACTCCAAGCTCCTGAATTTTCTTACCTTACTGGACCATGTAGGCCCCGTAGATCTTGTGTCCACGTGGAAGCCGAGGAGGTGAAACAAACCGACTTCTCATCTCCACTTAGCCCAGCTCCGTTACACTCAAGGTTTACTCAGTCTCGATATGCAGAAGACGAAAATACCATAATTGATTATTCGATGCAATAGTAACCGATTTCATTTCTATCCATAATGTCACAATGTCCATCACGCCTCAAAGAACTCTCGTGGTTCTCCTTCTATCGCTTGACTCACATCAGTCAACACAGTTACTGTTGCGACCCGGTACTCATAGAATGGGCACATTTCGAGGATACAAGTATTGGGCCAAATGGGGCTATCAGCCTGAAGTTGGACAACCGTACCGCGTTAGCCCATGACGCCGAATGCGAACGCTGCTTTGGCTATGACGGACCATGCAATAAAGTGATTGATAGCGGTTGATCGATGCTCATGGTGGTTGGGTTAGTTAGGATTATTCTAACCATAACAGTTACAACACATCCTGATCAAGTGGGAAGCCAAGATATTCACTGTGGAAAAGAAAGAAGTGAGAAAGGACAGAAACCAACAAGTTAAAAGTACCCAAGCACTGTGAACGCCCTTGACAGTGATGCCAAAGCCACTAGGAGTTGCTTAACAATCTCCAGGTGATATCGCCTTGAATCCTGGATGAAATTTTTCTTCCGGGAAGCATGCACAACGACCCAATTGGTATCAATTCCCCTGACAAGGTGTACTCAATTCAACCACGTACCGGACGACAAGCGAGGAAAACGAGAACGATTATCATCTTTATGAAAGATGAAACGCTTGCACCACGTGTACAGCATTATAGTTATCAAAATATGCGCATCTATTAGAACAACAACTGATAACCCGGTCAACTGTTCCTACGTGGGAACAGTATGACGCATTGCTGAGAAATAAAGGATTTATTTTTCCAAGTACATGGTGTGTCTCAGAAGAGAATAGAAGCTAATCGTCAATGTATCCGTCAATCGCCGTAGATGAGAAGAAAATGCTGTCTGTCTGTTGTTCGATTAATCAACTATGGTCCGTGCAAAAAACCGCCAAGGATCCCATTTCCCGTAGCCGGTGCAGCCATAATAATAACAGAGATTTTATAGTAAGTGGAAAAATATTGATAGAGAAAGCATGGAACCATGAAAGTTAAGGTTAAAGGAAATGGAAAAGTACAACAGGTGCCACTAGGGCGGCAAGGAGTGGAGCTCCAAAAGACGTGATCAAATTCATTTGTCAAGTCTTTTAAACGTTATCGGTGCATTCGGTGATACCGCTGAAGCTTCGCCCAACCAGGCACAGCCGCAGTGCAAAGCATACAATGGTGTAGGTAGACATGGGAAGAATGCGGCCTGTCTGTAGTGCGTGGTATGGGCTCGAAACGATCATCCAGCGAGTTTGCGGATAAAAAGCTGCGACCTCGAAAAATATGCATTCGACGGTTTTAACGGATATGAGCTATATCGCGCAAAAACTTGTGGTAGCGAGCGATGGAGATGCTGAAGGGTTGCCCAAACCAAGATATGCGATGAGAGCTAGTTATTAGGGTAAGTCCCGCGTAAACCCCTTAACAGATCAGTATTAAACGTTAGGAATAATGTTATGCTGATATGAAGGCACTAACACATATCTTGTTCACAACAAGTGCGTCCCAATATCTATGTTGGCATATGGCTTTAGACATAATTGGAACCCAAAACGACTCATTGTGAAAATGCATGGTGCAAAACATCAGTATATCTAAGTAAACAGGGGCGGAAGATAATGAGCTTCCAAAACAGCCCATTAACATATGCGACATTAAATGCTAGGAAATGTTTGATAATGAAAACCAAGAGTACGGGTGACGAATGAAGCGTACCCTAGATTCTAATATGGTGACTTTGGCTCCGAAATAGGTGAGTTGTCGGGCAGTCATCAGACCCGAAATACCAGCACCCAGCACAATAATATGCGGGGGATGAGCGGCACCGGGTTTGGAAGGAGATGCACCACGACGAGCAGAGTGTAGTGAACGTTCCGATCCTGTACGTCTGAGAGAAGGGGTGTCTGTCAAGGTCTCCGGCGCGGAAGTTCCGCGGCATCCGCTTATATGAGTAAGCGGAGCGCTGATGATCTTGAACACACCGAAATTGATGTGACCGAACCTGAATGGGGAAAAGGAGGTCAGGCGAAAAAGGATGTACGGGCAACTTGAAACCAACGTCGAGTGCGCCGCGCCGTGTAACATTCATTGAGATCGAGCAGACAGTTGTTGTGGGAAACAAGCCTGGGTAGCAATGAAAGATAGTCTATTCAGACTCCAAGCTATAAGAAGCTGGTTACAAGCTGTTAGAGTGGAACTCGCAAAACAGATTTGATGGATCTATCCAAATATGAATTGATTCTTCCAAAGACATCACAATGGACCTAACGAAGATGGGTAAACTTCAGAAAACAGAAAAGCGTATGAAACCTAAGAGGAATGCGAGAGATCCAGTAAAAGATATCATCGTTGGGACTAGTGACAGTGATCTTTAAGGTGCTGGGGAGAAGCAACTAACAGTTGTTGGATGGCAATAGGAACAAGAGAAGTACACGAATAAACATTGAGTCCACACTAGAACGAAAAGGGCCACCGACTGGGAAGATGGATCCTAAGGCTCGGATTATGGTAACACACTCAAATTTAGGACAACGATCTTGTGTCGTGATTCGATCGAGCAATAAGTAATCTGAACAAAGGGAGTTAATGCAGTCAGGGTGATAAGCGACAGAATGACGAGCTGCGCAACATCTAATTCGATCAGCAATTAGTCAGAGGAGTAAAAAGCACTTTGTACCTTTCGAGAAACAGGACAGCGTAATAGCACAACTTATCCAGATTGCTCTTCGCACTGATATTGCTCCAGGGTGACCACATCGGAGGGAGAGATAAGACAGCCAGGTGACGAGTGTTGCTCCGTGTAATTGGTTCCTTAGAAGTTTTAGTGCGAGTGACGTCATCCGACTGTGAAGAGGCTGAAGAGATGCATCCGAGATGAATTGGCCCAGTGCCAACAGGAGGAGCAGCGATGCCAGCATCAATCATAAGACGAATGTTCTCGGTGGACATGTTGCTCATTACATACGTAGAAAGTGCGGCTGGTGTTACCTGTACGCCTGGATCTTCAGACCATGACAGACACTGAATCAGAAGTTGAAAGAACAAATGATGGCCATAAGAAGACCTTGGTCACAAGAAATATATAAGAATGTATTCTCATAAAGATGGTGGAAACAATCCGAGATTTGGAGAGAACGTATGGAAGGATGCAAATTGGTTCAACTGATTAATTGCGTCAATGATGATTAAGTTTCTGTAAGAAAGCGTAATAATTTGGTGACAATTTTGGCCAGGGAGCTTGAAAGCAATCTTGAGAAGATGAAGCGCAGATATGCAAGAAATTAATAAAAGCGCGGGGGCATTGACAGACTGCATCAATTGCGAAGTACTCACTGCGAAATTTCGGACACAAAGGTATGCGTCTCGCAGAGCGCGAGGACAATCTTCCAGGAAGGGAAAAAGAGAAAGTTCTTCATTGGTCAATTCCTTAGATGGCAGGCGACAGATGCGTGCGGCTTTTTCCTGGGGTGATAACGTGTCTTCGGCGTCGTCCGCATCATCTCCCTCGGCTTGATCGTCATCGCCACTAGCACTATCTCCGTCGTCCACATCAATTTCTCCCTCAGTGAGCCGGCGTACACTGGCTGACACGGCCATGTCCTCATCAGACTGCTCTCCTGCCTCTTCTTCTTCATCTTTGTCTTCCAACCCAACAGGATCTTCCGTGTCCATAGCAGAGTCATCATTTTCTTCTGCGTTTTCCACTGGTATCATGCGGAGCGGTTGCCCACCAGATGATGTCAGTCCCCCCTGAAGAGTAAATGTGTTAAAGAAAAATGAAAGGTTCGTTGTGATCATCTCCGTGTTGCAGAAGAAAGTTTTCAGTCTGACGAGTTACGCTTGATATATAAAACTTACAAAACAGAGAAGCAACGGATGGTGAATAACGGCTCAGTAAATGGGGCTTGTGTGATGCAAGATACACTCGACTTTATAACAAAATGAAATGCAGAGTAAGGGAAGTCGATGAGTCTCAATGCAACGCACGCAATAGGCAGTAAGGTCAGCCAGTGGCCGAAAGGATTGCGCGTTCGTGTTATACTCCAGTAGTAAACGGCTCGAATTCGCGTAGATGCGGACGACTTCGCGTGGCTGTTGGTGCTCGCGTGGCACCGAAGCGACTGTACGGTGTACCATACTACTGCTGATGCCTCAGATAGTAAGCGTTCCCGAGAAAATAGATAGTATCCGTCAGGAGTTCGAAAGAAGGACGTTTATGACAGAAGTCGATGAGGTGCACCACCATGTCAGCGAGCCTTTGCACCCACGCTTCAATGACATGCCCCCGTCAAAGGTTGTATGCATACTCGGATACCGTGAGCCGCTCACAACAATGTGATTTCGCACTGCTGGCCCGTGAATTGCAAGACATAAGCCTGAACCACTCCGCATCAAGCTGTCAGTACAGCTAAGACAATAACAGCCTGCGCCGCAGTAATACGGGGCAACGCCGTCGCAACGTGACTGGACCATAACGTGGTGTGACGGTTCGCGTACCTCGTCGACCCATTGAGATATACGTGGTGGGGCCCTTTGAGAGTTACACCTAACAGGTTGGTCAATGGTTAGACGTCAGCCGAACTCAGTCTACTGGTTTACCAGGTTGAGGGGCTGAAATGGTATGGCGTCGATTTCTGTAAAACCAAATCACTACCACCTCCCGTTGCCTTGCGGATAGGTTCTTGAGCCAAAGGCTTCCGATGACGATGCCAAGCGCCCTCCTGTTTAGGTCTGGGCGCCTTGGCAGTATCTCAGCTAACGTACAACCGTGACTACTTCTTCAAACTTCAAATACATTCTGCACCCGTCGTAGCGCAGATTATTAAAAGTCGCCTCATCTGTCGCATACAGCAGGGCGGATAAGCGAAAACATGCTACTGTTGGCGCCTCCCATTTTCCAATTCTAGTTGTTTCTCTTACTTCCATCCCGGTCCCATTACTGGCCTTCCTTACATAATTCTCAGTGTAACTGACATCAAAGGCAATGTCACTTGAGTCATGCCATCCATTGGAGGCCAATCGCCAACCGTTCCTTGTAAAGCTACACGGTCCCATTTCCCTGACGGCATTCAAAGTTCGTACTCTAAGACAATCAGGCAACACTCGCACGCACGTTGGACACACCGGGTACTGACGTTTGCTGTGTCGGAAACTAAGATCAATGACCTTCAACGAGTAACTGAATTAACTGGTTGCACGCATCCGGAGACCCTGTTGTGGCAACCTCTGGTGAAGCTGGGGTAGGCATCGTTCTCAACTCTGAGGCTTAGTCATCGTTGTTTGACTGGATTCCCGTGAACAGCCGTTTGCGTGCATTCCGTTTGACGTATCAACTAAAATTGTGGTTTGCGCTTATGCCTTCACCGACCGCCAAAGATACCTACGACGAACTAAACACGCTACTACGCAGCGCTACCAGTCCAGATATCATAGTCATTGCAGACGAGAGAATATGCAAATAGGTCATCTGAGCTCTTCAAAAGCTCTGCTAGATGGTAAGTATGGACTTAACTCCGACCGTACGGACAACGGCGAGCGTCCATTACAACTGTGTGCGTGACACCAGCTCTTTTTTAGTAGCACCGCTTATAGACACAGTGGGCCTCGAAATGTCACTCGGTGTCCTCCTGTAGCTAACCAGCGATTCCATCCTGGATTGTCGCTCTTTCTGGAGTACTTGCGTCGGCTGTGAGTATGCCTTGGTACGCTGACGTTTTTCCATATAATTTTCCGGGAGACGTAACAAGCGTTTGCCTCGATTGGCAACTGAAATGTTATCTCAGCCATTGATCAGGCAGGCCTACCAGGATGCACTGCGTACCGAAGTTGAGTTCTCTTGTCCCAATGACGCTGAGCTTCAATGGGATAGGATGTTGGTAGCCATGGACCATGCAGGAACCTGCGCTTGCGGCGCTGGTAACCGTCATCGCACCAGTAACTGGATATCCGAGGTCGGTGAACCTGCTGGAATACAGAAGAAAACCTCCGGATGTCTCTGAGCACAATATTAGCAGACGGACGATAAGGTGCGAAGGAAAGGAGAGCGTGCGTGCAGACAAGGAAGCATGGTGGACCGGAATAGCTCAAGAAATAGGGGAAGCGGGAGCAGTATGCAATTATCACGAGCTTTTTCAAATGATCGGCACCACGGGTCCCAGAAAACTAGGCGTCAGTGAGACAAACAAAAACAGTGCGTATGCCTTTAATCACAAAAAGCAGCGCCGTATAACACGTTAGGCGCAGCAGTTTCGAGAGCAGTTCAGTTGACCTCTGCTTTTGGACCTCTTAGTACTCAGATGTTACAGGCTGAGACATGGACGGTTAGTTTAGAGACTCCGTGGGAAAAAGAGGTCCGAAAAGCAATCGCAACCCGTAATCGTTTTCGTGCTGCGGAACCGGATTACCTCGCAACCGCACTATTTAAGAATGGTGGTGAGGTCCTCTGCAAAGCACTGACATCCCAGTTCGAACAGACCTGGAAGGCAGAGGTCATCCCAGCTGACTGGAGTGAATCAATTATGGTGGCGATATACAAGAAGGGTAGTCGCATTGACCATGCTAACCACATGGACATTAGCCTAACGCCGGTGGTGACAAAATTACTGGCCTCAATTTTCATTCGTTGCACCACCGCGGAACGAGAATTCCGGATAAGGGAAGAGCAGGCAGGTTTCCGCCCTGGATGGGGGTGTATAGACCACATATTCACACTGCGGCAGGTGCTAGAGCAGCGCCACAAGTACCGCAGGCAGACAATGGGTGTGTTCAAGGACTTCAAGAGTGCGTTTGACTCGGTCGATCAATGCATTCTGTTTGAAATACTTGTGTGGAAAGGTGTTCTCATGAAATATGTGAAACGTGCCCTGTACTCGAACACATAGGTCGCGTCAGGACCCACGGTGATTTGTCGGGTGACTTTCTGACAACAGGGTTCAAATTCGCCGTGGACTGCATCATGGATTGTACCTTGCGTAGCCTCATGATGTAGGCGTTAAGGTGCAGCCTTGTGAAAAGCTAGTCAATTTTGATTATGTGGATGATGGTGTCCTGCTTTTAATGATGTAGTGGCGCAATCAACTCTGAATAACCTAACTATCAAAGTTGAGTGCTGTTGAATCTTGCTTGCCTCTGTCATCCTTCACAAACTGACTGGCACTTGTGAAAGTCATATTCGTGAAGAGCAAGCCAAATTCCGTCGAGGTCGTGGCTGCATTGACCATACCTTCATTTTGCGTAAGTTGTTGCAGCACCGTCACATATATTGGCGGCTCACCGTTGTCGTGTTCCTGGATATCAAAGGTGCATTGGATTCGGTGGATAGACATGCACTTTGGGACTGTCTACTCAGGTAAAGTGTACCTGAGAAATATGTAAATATTATCCGATTATTATACGCGAGTAGCTCAGGCAGAGCGAAGGCTTACGGCAAGCTGCTGTCGCCCTTTAATATCTTCAGCGGTGTGAGACAAGGATGCCCGCTGTCACCTTTCCTCTTCAACTTCGCTATTGACGAAGTCATGGAAATCGCGTTCACAGGACACGACTTAGAAGGTGTGGATCTGCTCCCAGGAGAACGAATTCTTCACTTGGAGTATGCTGACGATATTGCCCTAATGTGTGACAGCTCCTAGACGTGCCAAGCGACACTGGACAAATTAGCACTGGCTGTCAGCCGCTTCGGGCTTTGCTTTGCACCATCGAAGTGCAAAGCGTTCTACCAGAATTGGCCTGGACCGCCTCCTTCGCTGACCCTTGGTGGAGATCAGCTATAAGTCGTACAAAAATTTAACTGCTTGAGAAGTTGTATGAGCGCCCGTGGGATTAAAGATGAGATTATGACCCGTATAGCAAAAGCTCGAGGCGCTTTTGCTAACCTTCGCCAGTTATGGCGCCGGCGCGACATCACTCTCGCCCTGAATGGTAGAGTGTACAATGCAGCGGTACGTTCGACCCTACTGTATGGTTGTGAAACCTGGTCCCTTAGATCAACGGACATAAAGAGGCTAGTTACGTTCGATCACCGGTACCTTCGCAATTTAGCTCACATGTGGTGAGAATACCACGTGAGCAACGAGTGTGTTCGACGCCTTGTTTACGGCACAGGAAAAGGAAATGAACCGCTCAGTACCGTTATTTCATGCACCACGCTCTGATGGCTCGGCCAAGCGTCACGCATGCCAACCCACGGACTCCCGCGTGTTGTTGGCGCGCCGGGGGTGTGGATGGAAGAAGAGGAGAGGTGGCCAAGCGATGACTTGGTCGAGAGGAATGAAGGCCCTCACTTTGAAGCTGGCCTCAGTTGGAGCGTCTCAGCCTCCTGGTTGGGGTCTGAAAGACGATGAGCACGTTTGCCTGGATACACTTGTTGATATGGCTAGGAGCCGACCTCAGTGGCGTTCGTGCTGTGAGTTTCTTTGTCCCACCCCATCCCTCCAACCACGATCACATTATTTAGCATTTTATAATTTTGCATAGCAAATTATTTTTTTCTGCTGCATAGTAGCCGGTAGGTACCTTACCGGAACGATGCCCATCCGTTACCGGTAGCTCAGCTGGCTTGCACCTGTTGCATTTTATGCCCTTTTTCTTTTAGGTATTGCGGCACAGTAGCTGAGGTGTCTCCCATCTCTAGCTAACGTGCATAGTGTGTGTGTGAACCCTGATGGTGAGAA